CCCCAAAACCCCAAAACCCCAAAACCCCAAAACCCCAAAACCCCAAGTAGTGTTCGCCATGTTGAACCAATCTAGTTGAGTCAAATTAATATTTTAAGAACTCTTTTCTTTTCTCTTTTCAATTGAGAAGCAGTAGATTCCAAGGTACTCTGTCAACTGGTTGATGCAAGTTTGGATAAATCTGAATGTGATGAAGAACATAACGACAAAGGTAGCATAGAAGACTAGCTTAAGGGTGTTTTCGCTCTCCTGAGTTCCGTTGTATTGGCTTTGCAAATAGAAATATGGAGCAAAGACCAAAAATTCGAAGTGGATAACATTGTAATCCATTTTAGCCATATGGCAAATTATTAGTTTGCAAGTTACTAATACAAATAAGAAGACTACTGACAAGTATACCAATCCTGCATTATTTTTGATGAAAGGAATATTTGGATCAAAGAGATACATTAGAGCATAAATTCCGATATGCTGGATTATTTGGAGAGTGACAACAAATTTTACGTAGGCTCCTTTAACACTGTTCAAAGTTTTAAATACCAAAATGATAGAATAGATTACTCCAACATATACAACAACTATCATAGCATAGTCCTTAAATAGATATCCATCAGAGAGGATGCTTGGCATAAAGGTCCAGCTGTCGGAAACTTTGCCTTGATAAAAATCTCCTCCAACTAAGAAGGGTAAGAAGTTGAAGAAAATTAGTAAATATTGACCGGTTGTAGCATCAATCAGGCCAACTGAATAAATATAAACACCACTGTAATACTCAAGCAGATTCGTAAAGAAAAAGGGTCCAATAGATGCATAAATAGAAAGGATCCCACTGAATGAAAGACCAAGACCCAAGAAAGATACGACGCTCATATTACAGAATGCCCAGGATACTGCATCACATCCATGATCAAAAAGCTGTCCAAGTGGTGAGCTACTTCCAGTTCTTCTTGCTTGTTTTCCATCAATCGCATCCAAGGTCTGGAAGGTCCAGATTCCAATTGCAACAAGCAAATACGTAAACCCTGGAAGAGGCTTTGTCATTGATAGATCAAATGCAAGCATTAGCAAGTAAGACCCTCCAAGAGCAATCAGGCCAAGCAGAGTCACAAGATTAGGAGCCATCCACTTTGGCAAGAACTCAACTATCCATATCCAAAAAGGATTGAGCAGGTTGTCCAAAGCAGAATACTCTCCAGGCACGTATTTATGGTTTTCTAAAGACTGAGTTAAATATTAAGAATTCCGAATATATAGAAATTGCTCATATGAAGCACTCCCATCTCCCTGCTTAAGCTAGTCCTTACTGATATTCTCTTTTCCCTCGTCTGATATATACTTCCCAAGCAAATATGACATTTTTATTGAGATTCAATATTAATCTTCATGAGTGGGGTTTTGGGGTTTTGGGGTTTTGGGGTTTTGGGGTTTTGGGGTTTTGGGG